CAGTACACGCAATTATATTTGTTATCTGTTATAGAAAACTCTGTGTATTCGATCTCGCCCTTGCTCTTCCATATTCCTCCGCACCCCGCGAACCGCCCCTCTGCCGAATTTCGGGGCTGAGTTGCCGGCCATCGGAATCGTTCCCCGATCGTGGCAGTCAGGAGTTAGAGCGTTTTAACCTTCTCGCGTCGTTGCGTAACGGACAGCCTACGCGTATCCCAGATTACAATTCGTGCAGTAATTCGAAGGGTGGCAAGCCCGCTCGTGCCTGGCGCTCAACTTCGCGTTTTCAGTTGCCGCGTGATTCCGAGCTATCGAGATCATGGTTATTCGCTCTGACTGTAGCGACGGTTAACGACCGATCTTGTTTTCCGGCTTACAAAAGTCCGGTTACAGTATATAGCACTACTACACTGAGATGTGTGCGATCATATTTATCTTTGACGCGGATAAAATTTCTACCTGGCTATGGTCGCGAACGAAAGAACATTTCTATGCGGTTAGAAACGATAGCGATTTGATAGAATAGGTTCAATAGACGGTTCGACAGGCTGTTCGATTGGACAGACAGGCGGTTCGACAGGCAGTTCGATTGAACAGACAGGCGGCTCGACAGAACAGCGATATCGGTTTGATAGAACAGACAGGCGGTTCGACAGAACAGCGGTATCGGTTCGACAGATCAGCGGTATCGATTCAATAGAACAGGGGTATCGGTTCGATAGGCGGTTTGATGATGATTTCATACTATGTGTCTTTGTTACATTGTCATAACCTTGAGAATGCTAACACGTTCATTTTTATCTTGACTCATATAATATATCTAATTAATGAAGGTCGCGAAAGAATATGATTTTCTTTGTAGTTAAACTGATAACAGTTTGATAGAACAGACAGGCGGTTCGACAGAACAGGTGTATCGGTTCGACAGGCAGTTCGACAGATCAGCTGTATCGGTTCGACAGAACAGGTGTATCGGTTCGACAGATCAGCTGTATCGGTTCGATTGGCGGTTCGATAGCGGTTTGATGATGGTTTTATACTATGTGACATTACCACGACATTGAGAATGCTGACACATTCATTTTTATCTTTGACGCGTATAAAATATCAACTAATAAAGGTCGCGAGAAAATATGATTTTCTTTGTAGTTAAGACCAATAGCGGTTCGATTGAACAGACATGCAGTTTGACAGGCGGTTCGACAGAACAGCGGTATCGGTTCGACAGAACAGGTGTATCGGTTCGACAGAACAGGTGTATCGGTTCGACAGAACAGGTGTATCGGTTCGACAGAACAGGTGCATCGGTTCGATTGGTGGTTCGATAGCGGTTCCGTAAAAGCATTTTTTAAAGTTATGGCTGTTTCAATAGCGCCGGTTGGGATGGCGGGGTGGGCCCGTGCGCAACGGGAGGGACACGAGCGCGGCGACGGTGGCGGCGGCGGCAGCGGCGAGCGCGGTTCCCTCTTCCCCGCGACACCCGCATCAACAACGCGGTTCCCCTCTCCCCGCGGACCCACGACGCGGTTCCCCCATCCCCGCGACACTCGCATCCACTACGCGGTTCCCTCTTCCCTGCGCATCCCGCACCCACAACGCGGTTCCCCTCTCCCCGCGGTCATGCCAGCTGAAGCGAGCGGCTTTCCGCGGCTTCTCCCTCCCCGCGGACCTTAGGCCATGAACGTTCTGAGCGGCTTCCCCCTCCCCGCGGACCCCCCGCGGACCCCCTGCCCCTTACCCCCCTTCGGAGCCCCATGGATTAGAACCCGCCTATTATAACTACTGAGAGTAATTCCCATTTATACCAATAAAAACTTATCGACGTATAAAGTGCTGTGCAATAATACATGGAGATTAATTGCCGATCAATTGAAAGTCAGCTGTGAGTACATAATTGTGTTTATTTGCCAAATCGTGTAAAAATAACAAATAAAATGTAGTTTATTTATTTGTAGCGGAAGATGCCAAGAAACGCTGAAAAGTTTTGAGAGAACGATTCAGCAAAATTAGGAGGCAAAAAGCAAATATTCCTTCTGGACCTGCTTCTCTGTCGCCAGATCAAGAGAATATATGGCCTTTGTATGATGCGTTGCAATTTTTACAACCGCATGTACAAAATAGAAAGTAAGTTTATTGATACTTGTTTTCTGTTGTTTTATTTTGTAATATTTATTAATACATATGGAATTATTGTAAGTATAGATCAATTGGCAACGAAGCATTGAGTGTCACCCAATACTACGTAATAATTTTTTATGTGACGATCATGATGACAAACTCGACAAGTTAGAAAATCTACCCGAAATGGAGAATTTAGAATTTTTCGATGATGATCAAGAAGTACGCAATTACCTACTCCATAGAGAGGATAAAGTGGGGAGTGGTCAAGAAACCTCCAAATCTAAAGAAGACGAACAATTGGATCTGCATTCAAATAGAAAAAGACGATTGTTTGAATCATCTGAAAAGAATAAAGATGATAAAAAGAAACCTGAAACCTTACTTGCAGTTGAGCAACATCTTATCTCCATGCTTGAAGGTGTTGAGAAAGCTATAAAAAAGCGTTAAAAAAGATGATATGAAAGAGGATACTCTTTGAAATTTCTGTGTTTCATTGTATGGGTCAATAAGAAAGATGCCGAAGAGAAAAGAAATTAAATTTAAGATTTCTCAACTTTTGTATAATTTGGAATCTGATTCTGATGATAAAGGTATACGATATGTGCACTCATGGACAGAATAGTTGGGACACTTTTTGATTGATCGATTTGCGTGCGTGCGTGCGTTCGTGTGTGCGTGCGTGCGTGCGTGCGTGCGTGCGTGCGTGCGTGCGTGCGTGCGTGCGTGCGTGCGTGCGTGCGTGCGTGCGTGCGTGCGTGCGTGCGTGCGTGCGTGCGTGCGTGCGTGCGGCGTGCGGCGGGCGTGCGCGTGTGCGTGCGCGTGTGCGTGCGCGTGCGCGTGCGCGTGTGCGTGTGCGTGTGCGTGTGTGTGTGTGTGTGTGTGTGTGTGTGTGTGACGAAATAAATGAATTATTCAATCAGGAGGAAAAATGCGGGAAGAAAGTAAGAGCAGAAAGTTGTATTTTACTCAATTTTAATATAATTTATTAAAATATTTTTTAATGTACATTTTTTATTTCTTACTTTTAACCTATTGGCTAAAAGTAAAATTTTAAAACGCTTTTATATACATTTCTTAAACTTAATAACTAAACTTAATAACTACAAAGTAGAAATAATAAACTTAATTTTTAAAATATTTTATTTTTACATGATTTTATTTACATTTTTGGTCGAGGAGGTGGGAAAAATCAGCGGCTTAATCTTACTTAACTAACTCTTAACTATATACTATGTTCTATACAAATCCGTACGGAAGAGAGCAACGACTATTGATAAACCGGCGTTTCACGAGAACCGGAGCGCATGTTTTTACCTCGCGCCGCGTTACCACATCGTGAAATACGTTGCGACGAATTGCACCAAATTCTAATTTTACAGCCATCGCTGCTCTCTGCTCGTTATTTTTTTCCTCTTCTTCTTCCACTCTTTCTCTACTTATTAATAAATCCTTAATACTACTGAAATTAAGTAACCGCGAATTTTCAAAATTTAATTTTATACCTTTTATTTTACAAATTTCGTGTCGATGTCCGACCGCTGTTTGAACCACATACGCGTAAAATTTCGGCCCGCCTGATACGAACGCCTCGATAAAACTTCCACGACCGTAGCTCTCGAGCTCGTCCGTCATATCCCCCAAAAAGTTCCCCGTAGATGGCTCGTATTCA